AGTGGGGGAGAGACACAATACAATGTTTCTACAGAAAATAACTGGGAACAGATTCTCTGACACACCTTTTTTTTTAGTGCACATGCATAATATTAATTTATTTGCACTTGCACCAAAGTTTCACTCAGTATCTCTATATATACAGTACATAGTGCAAAGCATGCAAGATCAATTGTTTTCAATAGCATAGCTTTTTGGGAAACTTTTTTAAAAAATAATTTCTATGGGACTAAGTGCTGAATGAAAATAGCATATATATAATTTCTTAAGTTTTCGCGGGTACTTAAATGTATGGTTTAAACTCCAAGACCAATAAACACAGACCAAGACTCCCAAACAATCAGGATGAAGAAAAAACCATTCTGGCACAGCAGTAGGCTAGCCCCAAATTTAAAACTGAAACAACTGTAAAAGTCTGACTCACAGACGAACACAATACAGAAGCCTGATGATGGCAGATGAGATTCTGCCGAAACATTGCTACAACTTTAAAAGCACAACTATAACGACGTGGGAAAATACCCGAACAAAGCTGAATACCATACATACATACATACATACATACATACATACATACATACATACATATAAATAATAAATATTATGTTACAGGTCCTGATCTAGCATTGATAAGAGAGACTCCATGAAATATCTGATGGACAAAAAGGACGTTCAAAGTGTTCTTAAGAAAAAAGACAAATGGATACAAGTATTTCACAAAGGGTGGCCAAGTGGGAAGAGGATCGGCTTCCCTCTCTGAATCCTGATTAAAATGGAAGTGAAAAAGTATTTTGAACTGAAAGCATGCACTTTTAACCTGGCACAAAATGAAGTTCTAGTTAAATTGAACAGAATGATGAAATTAAACCTTGTAGTCATAATTAAGTTTTTAAAAAACATGGACTACTGGCTTTTTTTGTCTTACAGCTCTTGATTTAAAAGATTTTTATTTATTTCTGGCTCCTAAAAGTCAAGAGAAGGTGGTTTGTGAATAGTAATTCAATATGTTGATCCATTTTCCTCTGCTGATAACTTCTGAGCATGTAAAAATACAGAGCATGCTCCATTTTTGTATTGGGAGAAACTGCATACTGAGTATTATGGAAAATGTCAGACTATTCAAGAGACAACTGAGATAACTGAGCTTTCAACTTTTTCCAGCACAGACAGTTGCTACCCAAATAAAATATTTTTCAGGATAGCTTCTACTCCCCTGCCCTCACTTACTGCCAATTGCATTCCAGAGTTTGGACTGATTATAAACTCCTTATCGAAGGCTAACCTGAGAAGAAATCTTTTTGGCAGTTAACATAAAAGCACATAAAATGGGGTGAAGATAGAAGCTGCTACCGCAATTTATTTTGGTTTGTTTTGATAAGTTGGAGAGATTCTTTTTCTACATGTTGATCATGGCAAATATCCTTTTCTCTCAGATTATGTGACAGTTTTTACTATCTACTAGCATTTATATTTGGGGGTGGTGTGGGGTGGTTAATACAGATATCTGAATGCCCCACAAGGTTCAGCTTTAAGACCAGATATTTTTTTCATGTGCTGATATTAGCAAATGTCCATTCTTTCTTCACCTGTGAGTTTTTACTATCTACAGTACTAGCTTTTGGTTTGGGGGCCTTCAATACACATATTTGCATGCCCCAGAAGGTTCAGCTTTAAGCTCAACCTGATATTCAATGACTTACAAAAACTCTGGTATGTTAAGCCTTTTATTTTTTTTACAATAGTAGAGAAAAAGCTAATGGAGAATTGAAAAGGTATATCGAATTGCAATGAAGTATTTAAATTTTACTGTGATACCAGTTTCATCACAATATGTTGGAGAGAAGAAAGAGTGCAAAGCATAAGACAGGATATGCATTCCGCACCAAACACTGTCCATGTAGCATAACTATATGACCAAGATAATAAAGAAAATAATCAGCCCAGAAATTTAAGTAAACTTGGACAAAGAAACTCATATAAAGGCAGATGAAGTGTTTGGCAATTATGCAGTATTAAGAGTACTTTAAGGGAATATTAATATCAGATTATAGAAGCTGGGAATGCTGGTATGACTGGATAGAACAAAAATAGAAAATATAATAGTAAATACTGTAAAATGTAAAAGAGGTAGTAATTATATATTTGCAATAAGATATATTTGTAAATATGTCACCAATACTGATAACAAATAAGGAACCATAGACTGTCGATAATAGAACTGCTAGTTTTAATCGGTTTTTTTACTTTCTTTTTCCTTTTTTCTGTGTGTTGTGTATGTTTGTTTGACATTTTAGTTGTATAATCAATAAAGTTTGTTTTTTAAGAAAAAGAGTACTTTAAGGGAAGAAGAGTAAGATTACATCTTTCCCAACTGCCTAGTGTGTGGTACCCTTTCCAGATGATACAGATGGATTTTGCTGTCATGCTCCTATACTTCCTATGGCATTCCAGGCTATCAAAAGTCCAACTTTTAAGTTTAATGTCTCTCTATGGAATTGTATATGGGCAACCAATGCCTTTAGACTTTGAGTTAATTCCTATTCAAGATATTTATTTTGACCATGGTCAAATTACTGATATGCTATACGTTTTTTCAATAGGAGCAGTGCCAATGACAAGTCAGACTACATTGTGACCTGAGAGGGCTACAACAAACTATAACCCTCCTGCAAGCAGGAAATTTAGTGTTTCACAAAGTGCATCAAAATAATAACTCTGTGAGAAGGCAAAGCAATACAGTTTGAAGGTCTAACTTCACAGGTTCATTAAAGTCATTTGAGGCCCGCTTCAATTCCAGAAACCCCAGAAGCAAATCCTACTAGATGTTCCAACATCTCGGGAAGCAAACAAAAGAAAATAAGGCAAAGTTCTGACTATGACAGCCATGAAGACCAGTTTTAATGGATTTTAAGCCAATAGTCCTCATGGCAATTTAATTTTGTTAGAATAATGAGCTTGTTTTACTAGTATCTTCCTTCCTTCACTTTTCTGCAGCAGAAGCAATGTTGCTAAAAATTGGGTTTCTGTTGTAATCTGATGTATTTACAATTGCCAAGTAGCATGCAACAGTCATTGAACTGGCTGTCCAACTCTTAAATAATTGTCTTAAGCCTATTTCATAATTCCATCTGGAGCTTGCAAATATGGAGTTTGTTACCATGCTGTATAAACCTTGATGGGTATAGGCTCAATATAGAAGAGAACTGCCTTAGTGATTGAGTGGTTTATGCCTTGAGGGTGCCTTATGGAAGCTCTACAAAAACTACTCTTCTAAAGCATATTTTTAGCCCAGAATCTATTTTTTCTTTTGGTAGCATAGAAAGGAATGCTACTGAGATTCTGGGTAACAGATTCTGGGTTAAAAATATGCTTCAGCACAGCAGTTTTTGTAGGGCTTCCATTAAGGCACCCTCAAGGCATAAACCACTCAGCCTCAATCACTAAGGCCAATTATTTTCTATATCCATCAAGGTTTATACATAGTGAAAACAAAGGGCAAATTTGCAAGAGCATAATGTGCATGTTAGATTGTTAAGACATGGAATTTTTCTACCAGCGATTGAAAATGCCATGCAATACAGCTTATGTTCAAACTCCCCTATACTTATCAAAGACATAGTATTTGTTGACAGAAATTATTCAATACTTTCCTTTCCTTATGCCTCAGAACCTTATACAATTGGGCATTTAACTCCATTTCATGCAATACCAGTTGCCTAAAACTACATAAGCCCAAGTGAATTCACAAAAACCAGGACCTCAAGGGCTCCCCAACTTCTGTTACCATAATTGGTACACCAACCAATTACTTTGATATCAAAAAACCTGCTTGTGTAGTTATAAAATATATAAAGACTTCAAACACTATAGTTCTCCTAAATGAGAAGCAGGGATAGGTGAGAACAGCAATCCTGCAAATTGGCTTTATACTATTCATTGGCTTTATGTTATTCAAAATGACCCATAGCTGCGAGGTATTTCCAGCATTGTATGGCTTTAACCTGACAATTCCTTACAAGTAAAAACTCACTGTGCAAGATGTAAGGTACCTGACAAAAGGAGCTACAGAACAACTGTGGGCAAAATTGGCTTACCTTGTTACCTGGGACAGGCCAGTTTCAAAATGTGGCTGTAGATTGCCTATTCTTCTGGCTGGCATTAGGTCTTTTCAGTAATTGTTTCCAGAAGAGTAAGGCAGACACATATTTTCCCTCCAAAAGGTCAAAAGGGAAGAACTATGGGGAAAACAAGTTCTTGGAGGAGTGGGGGCATGTTAGCAAGATAGAAACATAGAAGGAATGCAGTTATCAAAACTGCTATGGCAATGCAACTATTTCTTTTTATGAAGACAATAACTCTTTCTTGAGGATAGTAGCAGTAGATGGTTGGGGAAGTAACTTGAGATTTTCTAATTATTAATATTAATGCTTATATCATCTATACCTTTGTGTGACTATTAACTTCTCCTTTCCTGAAATGTACTACAATCCAAGGACTTCAGAGTGCAACCCTATCTTCTCTTCCATTGTAACTACTGAACAGCAAGTTTATTGCATTACAGTATGGCAGTCCTTTCATTATAGCTATAGCACAGGGTTTTCCATAAATGAAAAATTAGGGGAAAAAACAAAACAAATGACTGCATTTAAATCTCTAATTACAGAAAGGTAGGGTTTTTTCCCGAGTTAGGGGACCTGCACTTTTTCTCTATTTTTTTCCTTGTAACATATTTGCATGTATAATTAAACCTTTAATAATGTAGAAAATGATAAGGATCATATTCTTAAATCCACTTTCACGGGCTGAATTTTAAGATCTTAATTCTTGTATTGTTTTTCAGTTCAGTGTGTATTCAAGTGATTTTTCCTTGGAATGTAAAGATAGACACAAGCAGTTTGCCTTCAGCTTATCAACATATCTAATTATTTGTTACTTTGAATTATCTATTCCGTTTTAAATCTAAAAATTCTTAACAAATGATATAAATACTGAACAACTGCATTTGTACAATTTAAATTTATTTTGAGAAGTCAAATAATTACAATTTCAGATACTACTACTAAATAGAACCTGCTTCATCTTAATTTCTGTTTCATACAGAGGTGTGTGAACAAATCAAATATTTCTTATTCAGTCAGTTAGGCTTATCCTGATTATGGGATAATAAAAATAGGAGGAATACTTTGCGGGTCAGCCTGGTATTTAAAACAAATTTTATTTTCCTGTCAGCAGCACTGGGATTATTTTACAAAAGCCCATTAAAGTAAGTGTGTCGGGTAGAAGTTTTTCTTCTCGCCTCGGAGGGATTCCAGTCCAATATTGTTTTAATTATTAAACTGAAAATACAGGAAAATTCTGGCTTCAGATTACATACCAAAATTGTGTTAAAATGAAACAAACTGGACAAGAGGATTTTTTTAAACCATAAAGATGAGAGTTTTTTTTATTGAAAATATGACATGCAAGCATTAGCACATATCAGTTCTTTCTCCATGAGAGTCAACAAAAATCCACTTGTTTGAAAAACAAATGCATGAATTACAAAATATTTTACCACTCTTAGATTCCCATTAATTTTTGTTTAAAGATATTTAAGTACATAAAACTACAACAATTACACCTGGAATATTACAGTAAGAAGAGATGAAAATGGGTATTTCAAAAGAAAATACATCTTAACCAGGAACATTTTAATTGGATACAGGATAATGGCAGGGAACCGACAGGAAAAGCTAGGATCGGAACATGCTGTTGAAAAATGGTATTTGCTCTGTAACTAACTTCTCTTCTTAATAACGTCCTGAAAGAAAGAAAAAAAATGCATATAAATTCATACCTTCACGAATCAGCTCATATACCGTGTTTCTCCAACAATACGGCCTCCACCAATAGGAAGCCCCACCATGTTTTATTGGCATAAAATCAAATTAAGCCCCTCCCCCCAAATTAAGCCCCATATTAAACATGCGAAACGGGGGGGGTAGAGGGGGGGGGGGGGGCTTGTCGTTAGGAAGTACTTTTGTTGCATGCCCGGATATGGTGCTACCTGCGTTGGTGGGGCACTTCATATCGGGAGACCTCCCACCGTTGCTTCTTCCTTCTCCCTTGCTGCCCCTTCTCCCTTGCTGCCGCGGCGTTAGAGCAGCCACGTGCGGTCAGTCAGGGCTCCTCCCTGCAACCGGAGCCCTGAGGAGACACTTGGCTTCAGGCGCTCCCGTCTTCCCTTTGCTTTCGAAGGTAAAGCGAATTATTTTACAAAGCCTCCCCTGCCCGAGAGGGCAGCCCAACCCCACTTGGGGAGGCTAATTTCCCGGGGCCTCTTCCGTTCCTCCCCGACCTCCCTACACTGCACGCCTCTGACGCGCCGGTCCCTTCAGCCCAGCGAGCTCTTCCACCTCAAAGAAAGGCCAGGCGGGCGGCTGCGGAGCAGCAGCAGCGGGTCTGAGCCGCTCACAGCGGAAACAGCCACCACCCGTAGCCCGACGCGGGGAGAACGAGCGAGGTTAGCGCCCGCCAGCCCGTCCTTCCTGCCTTTGGAGGCACCTGCACCGAGCGCCTCCGCGGCTCGGTTTCCCCTACCGGCGGGCCCTCCTTTCGTGAGGGGGGCTGCGGGGGAATGCGCTCGCCCGAGAGGATCTCTCCCTCTCTCTTCCCGCAAGGTCAACGTCTGCGCTGCAGAGGAGAGGGCTGCAGCCGGTTCCTCCTGCTTGCTGAGAGGTGAGGAAGCCGCGGCTCGCCCGGGTGAGATTTGAGAACGAGGGGCAGGAAGAGGCACACACACACCCGCGGCTCGCTTTCCCAGCTCTGCCCAGCATTTACGGCTCTGGCGCGGCCCTGGCAGGCAGCGAGCGCCTCCCCGCCGGACCCTCCGCTCATCCTGCCAGGGCCGCGCCAGAGCCGTAAGGGCTGGGCAAAGCTGGGAAAGTGAGCCGCGGGTGTGTGCGTGCCTCCTGCTGCCCCTCGTTCCCAAATCTCGCCCGGGCTGGCGGGCGCTAACCTCGCTCGTTCTCCCTGCGTCGGGCTACGGGTGGTGGCTGTTTCCGCTGCGAGCGGCTCAGACCCGCTGCTCCTGCTCCGCAGCCGCCCGCCTGGCCTTTCTTTGAGGTGGAAGAGCTCGCTGGGCTGAAGCGACTGGCGCGTCAGAGGCGCGCAGCATAGGGAGGTCAGGGAGGAACGCAAGAGGCCCCGGGAAATTAGCCTCCCCACGTGGGGTTGGGCTGCCCTCTCGGGCAGGGGAGGCTTTGTAAAATAATTCGCTTTACCTTCGAAAGCAAAGGGAAGACGGGAGCGCCTGAAGCCAAGTGTCTCCTCGGGGCTCCGGTTGCAGGGAGGAGCCCTGACTGGCCGCACGTGGCTGCGCCAAACGCCGCGGCAGCAAGGGAGAAGGGAAAGCAACGGTGGCCCGAACCCGAAGGTCTCCCGAATATCCAAGCTGTCGCCGCCCGCCCACCCACCCGAGGATGCAAGGGGGGGGAATTAAGTCACCCCCGAAAAGACGTCCTAGCCGTTTTTTCGGGGGTCAAAAAAAAATAAGGCCCGGCCTTATTATGTGAGAAACACGGTATTAATTTAGTTGTCTCTGAAAGGAGAGTATATTGTATTAGCATTTCCTATGCTGTTCTTAAAATATCTCACTATATTAAGATTATGCATTTTTACAATTAATATAATTATGCTTACTTGGACTGTAGGAACGAGATCTTGATCTTGATCTGTAACGACTATAATATGGTGAAGGTGATCGCCTCCTTTGAAAGAAAATGCAAAGTATTTCTGTTGACAGTGGCTCATTTCCATATTCATACATTTTAGCAGTTCACATTAATATACGTTAAATTGAGGTTTGAAGATATTAATTGAAAAACTGTTTGTAGGGTTTATAATATGAAAAAACAGAATTAAATTTTATACAGATAATCCTTTATCTGTATAATTTATAATCATTCATTTAGTGACCATTTGAAGTTAAAACAGCACTGAGAAAAGTGACACGGCCCCTTTTCATACTTATGACTGTTGCAACGTCCCCATGATCAAGTGATCAAAATTTGGATGCCTAGTAACTGACATGTATTTTATGCCAGTTACAATGCCCTGGATCATGAGATCAAGTTTTGCGACGTTCTGACAAGCAAAGTCAATGGAAAAGCTGGATTTGCTTAATAATCATGTTACTAATTTAAGAACTAGTTAATTCACTTAAAAACTATGGTAAGAAAGGTAGTAAAGGTAGTAAAATGAAGCAAAACCCTCTTTAACAACTATGATGCAAATTTTTTAGTCAATTGTGGTTGTAAGTTGATTACACATACACAGGTAATCCATTTCACTTACTTATTACCTCCATCAGTGACCATTCATATGCAGTGTTCTCACAATCACATAACTGCAATTTGAGCATTTTGCAACTGGCGCACATTTACGGTGGCTGAAGCAGCCAGTGGTCACGTGAATGCCATTTGTGACTTTTATAGTCAACTTCGAACAAGTAAGGTCAATGGGGAAGGCAGCAGGAAGTTGTGGTCATGTGATCTGCTAAACAATTGCAGTGGAACTGAAGTTGTTAAGTCCAGTATTGTCATGTGATATTTTCACTTGGGAACTGAAAATCAATTAAAGACAGAGTTGCCGTTCCCAAAAACGGTTAGTAGTGGGAACTACCTATATTGGTTTATATAACAGCTGTAGACTGCTTAGCACAAATGTACATTCTACTTTTAAATAACTTCCCAACATGCAGGTCATAATGATCAGAAGTTTTGTGTAAAAGTTTCAAATTGCCCTATTCGTCATCCAAGCACTTCCTAGGATATTTTCTTCCCGAACAAATTTTCTTCCATTTCCATTTTATTATTTATTTCTCACACTGTATATCTTTCCTTTGATTTTAAAGTGATTCAATTATACTGATGAAAGAATATTACAATAAATAGTATTAACTATTTTGTCACACTCTAATTAAGCCTTTACACTGAACTGTAATTCAATAATCTCTGCCAATATTTTTTCTTTTCTTTTTTAAATGTCAGGCAGCATCAAGGCATCTATGGAAAATTTAAAACTGCATGGGAACTGCATGGGACTCCCTATTTATTTTGCCTTTTTCATGGGATACAAACAAGATAATCTCATCCTGATCTATTTTTTTCCTAAAAAAAAATAATACAAGAGCATGCAATGATAGAAGACGCCCCACTTATTTTATTTTTTTAGACAATAATTAACGGACTATGCTTGACTGTTTGTTTTCTACTAAGAAACAAAGAATATTCCTTGTTAGAAAATGCATATGCTATTACCAGTTTGGATTTTAAAAGTGATAACAAAGGAAAATAGTTTATATATCTGTTGGGTATAAAATAAGATGGTCACCTTTCCCTCAACCCAAATTACAAAGTTTCATCATTTTTTATGAAATATTCATTTCATAAAATATTCATTATTATGCTGTCTGTTTTCACACTAGCTATTTTATTTAATTGCTTTTATTATGGTATCCTGAGTATTTTCATAATATTCATTATATCATACTAATATCAGCCAATAAAATGGCTAAAACATTATTTGTTTCTATTTACTTAAAACATAATACAAATGAAAAACCATGTAATGTATGAGCAGTAACTTGGACTACCGATCCACTATCGGGCAAACTGTATAAATGGATGCAATTCAATAATATTGTTAACCTCTATAGGAAGGGTTCATTGATCAAGACTACACAGCTGCAATTCTTGCAATCCAAAAACTGTTGCTCCCAAAATGGTTATCACTTCCAGGACTATATCAAGTGGCTTCAGTATAGAAAGGTGACATGGTAGATTGGCATTCTTTCCCAGAGCTAATCTCAAAGATTACTTTTGAGAAACAGAACTAGGTGATCTGCCAAATGGCCATCCTATACAGAGGCTGATTTATGACATCCTGATATAAGCGTCATTTTGGGAATGACTGCAATTCTTGCAATTTGAGAACTGGGGCTACTTCCAAAATGGCACGCACCTCCAAGATGGTATGAAATGACCTCTGCATAGATTTATAGCTTTCTGTTGTGGCCTGGTGGCAGCTAGTGAAACTAGCAGCAGAATCAGACAGTGAGGAGGTTGGGGAGGAACATGGGCCAGTCCTGGAGGCTGAGGAAGGCTTGGACAAGGGCTTTGAGTCAGAGGGCAGGCTGGCAGTTATCAGCTGCCTTCAAAGCGGGGGAGCAGCTGGAGCTGGTTCCCAGCCTGCACATGCGTAGAGCTGCCAAAAGAAAAGAACAATTTATTTTCTTTTGGCAGCTGTTGACGTGAGAGTAAGGCCACAGGTGAATGGTGAAACACGGTGAAGGCCCCTCCCATAGGGATTAAAAGAGGAGAAAAAGGGGAGTGGGCTTTTGCAGGAAACAATTCGTTCTGTTCACTGCAGCAGTGTGAAGAGCTGTCTCTGCATCTCAGAGACTCTGTGCCAAGCTTTTCCTTGTCAGCATTGCATTTGAAAATATTTACTTAGCAGCTCTCCAGACTAGATAAGATCTATATTCCTAATTAGACCCTTGAAAGATTGTTTGCCAGGCCTTTGGCTGAATGTGAATGCAAGAAAGACCCCTTCGTTTAATAAAAGGGGTTTTTCAGGGTCAAAAGGTTTGCTTAGTGCTTTTTGGAGAAGCCTAGGTCAGAACACTTTCAACATAATTTGTCTGACCTCTCTCTTTTCCTCTCCCCCCACCGGCTGAAAGGCTTATGGAAAAATGTTCTGTGCATCCCTTCCCCACAATAACCCTGTGAGCTGGGAAAGAAAATGAGTGTCTGGCTTAAGGTCACCTAACTGGCTTTCATGGCTAACACGGGGCTTGAATTCAGTTTCCTGCTTACTGGCTTGGTGCCCTAACCATTAGACCACACTGGCTCTCTAGAAGTTGAAGCATTCTGAAAGAAGGAATGAGCTAAAATTCTTCCAACCTAATGTGCAGGATTGTTCAACACTGGAACGTTTAATTGCAGTTACATTTAAATGCAGTTATTGCTGCTCAATGGAAACAGCCATTATAGAAATAATAAATAAATGAAGAGGTATAATTCCCTCCCCCAACTGCTTTATAATTAGATTCTCTATGTAATTTTAGGATGCATGGAGAACAGATAATGTCTTAGGTCATACTTATGCAGAAATACTGAACATTCAAAAAGCTTCACAATCTTTTAAGCATTACTATAATTTATTGCTTGGATTAAAAGTTTTCCATAACTTCCACATATAATTTTAATACTTACCTGTAGCGATAATCATATTCTTCATATCTGTCATATCCTCTGTCGTATCCTCTGTCATAATAAGAATCACGGCGACGGCCAGTTCCTCCTCCTCCTCCTCCTCCTCCCCCTCCACCTCCTCCTCCGCCTCCACTGCTATTTTTTTTTTTAAAAAAAAGAGAATTCAGACAAGTTATGCTGAAAGCTATACATCTGTTTAAGATTTTGTCTCAAGGATGAAGACAATACTTCTAATGAAGGAACTGAATATTCATAGTAGACTTAATTTCAGCCATTATTCAAACTGGCATCAGATTGAAAATCATTTACAAAATGTATTCAAGTCTTATCCTAAGCTCGGGAAAGAAATGAATAAATATGCTTCAGGAAGTTTTTAAAGCAAGTTTTCAACTCGTTAAATGATATGTGGTCATTCCTCGGTTTGTATACATTCTGTTCATTGAGTTCTGTTCATTGAGTTATTCTGAAGCCGATGGCACAATGGTTAGAATACAGTATTGCAGGCTAATTCTGCCCACAGCCTGGAATTCAATCCTAATCGGACGAAGGTTGACTCAGCCATCTATCCTTCTGAGGTCATTAAAATGAGGACCCAGATTGCTGGAGGCAATATGCTGATGACACTTTAAACTGCACAGAGAGTGCTGTAAAGCACTATGGGGTGGTAGATAAGTCCAAGTGCTATTGATATACTGTCCAGTGTTGTAAGACTGGGGCCATTTAACAAATACAGTAATCTCTGGAGCTCTTGGTTGGATATAGGGAAAGGAAGAATGTAATTTTCTGGCAGTTGGCAAATAGAAAACTGTTCATGACATGCTTTAATGTTCAATTCCAGGATGCTATAAACAAAAAATACAGTATGTTGTTTACTTGGTAGGTAGGCCTTGTACATGTGTATTAAGAAAACTGAAGCCAATCATTAGGGAGCAATACTGTTCATGGCCTGTCCTGAATTGAAAGCTTCTTAATTGAATTAGGTTCTGAGCTACTTCTCAAGAAAAGCTTCAAAAATGTGTACCACTATTGTTTCCATAGTAATTTTAAAAATATTTATTTATTCTTCAGGAAATACTCAGTACAGATGACAATTCCACCTATTTCTGGAGCTCCAGGACCAAAACATAAAAGGGAACATATGGGCTTGTTTGGAGTTCCATTGGTTTTCTATGTCTATAGCATAATATTGGAAATTATTTGTTATGTTGTATTGGAAGCCAATCTTTTGAAACCTACTGATGGAACACTCTAGTGAGACGGATTGTTTTTAGTTTGAATAAGCAAGTTTACTCCTATTCACTGGGCTCCAAGATCTCACTTAAAATGCCAGCCATAGGATACATTTGTAGAAACAATAAGAGTGAAATAAAGCAGTCATTAGATTAGAACATGTGTAAAGGAACTGACCATTTCACTTAAAGTCCCATGGCAAATGCATTTCTCATAGTAACAGGATTAAGACAATATTGAAATAAAAATATCTTACTGAGTTGGTCTGCCCATATAGATGCCTGGGGTGGGTGTGTGTGCTCTCTTTGTGATAGAGTAATCTACTCTGATTCTTCTACCATCCAGTTCCATTCCATTTGCATGTTCCATTGCCTACAAGAAAGATTTAAAAAAATATAACCCCCTTATGTCTGTATCTAGTAATCTACAAATTAACTTCCATTTGTTTTGACCGGCACGTTGTTGCAGGAGACATTCGTCCTGTTTTCTTCCGCTCCCGGCCTGGCTCATGGAGAAGTATAATGCTGATCCGGCCCTCAAAGAAATCCAGTTTGACAACCCTGTTCTAGAAGAACTGGGTATAATTGAGATTTCAATGATAGCTCTTCTAGAAGAGATCCCAGTTATCTTTTAATCTATATAAACATTATTAAAATTCTACATATAAAATAAACATAAAAACACAAACACACAAAAATTTAATCCTACAAATACAAAACTAAACATATAACTTAAAAACACCCCATGTACAACTTCTGCTTTCATGTTCCTCTTATATCTTCTGTCTTTACTTTCTTCATAGATCCTTTAACCCTCTCTTATTCTTTTGCAGAACAGACTTCCGTTTATGTGACTTTTCAATTAGTATCTTTTTAAACATGCTGCATTGTGGTGGTTATGTTAAAAAAACCCTCAAATGTAGTAGAAAGAAGTAAAAAGGTCAGAAAAATAAAATCTGAACTGAATGCACAAATATTGAAAAATATCACAATTTACTAAAATATACGACAACTGCAAGAACAAATTTGGCACAATATTGGAAAAGAGAAGCTTTGCCTACATCAGATGAAAAAAATAAAAAAGGATAATATGTAGGAATGACAATTTGTATTACATATACTTAATGGAAAGCTAATTAAATTTAAGTAAAGATGGCTCCCATATATATTCCACACTGCGTAGTAAGTCAAATGTAGTCTTTTTAAAAACATGACAAGAATGTGTCTCTGGAATGTTTTCCCATTTTGCTTCTTTTATTTTACGGGTATCTATTTTCACTATTTAACATAAACTTTTTCCTGTGTATTTTACTATTGTAACAATAAAAATATCTTTTAAAATGTGTTTAATATACATGAGACTGCTTTTACATTAGGCTCCATTCCAATCAGAGATGTTGAAATATGCTGTTACTGCTGCTTTATATCAAGTGACTAAATTATTTTTCAAAAGATTCTCAATGATGTACTTAGCTTAAGAATCAAATAATATGATTATGTTAAGACATTTAAAAATTGATAATTTCCATTAATGAGGAAAATGCATGCTTGCTATCAAATATTTTGTTAGAAAGTTAATGTCATTCCATAGAGAATTACTGCTTCTATATCATGACATCAGAATGTTTACTCAGAATATCCTTGCATAAGACAGAATTGCCCTATTGTACAATGATAATGGAGAATTTAGGATTAAATTGACAGAAGCTAACTCTGTATTATTTATAGCTTGAAACAAAGTAACAGGAAAACTGAATATTCAATATATCCCTATTTAATGTTTTTAAAATCACATTAATTGTAGACTATACTGCCACCTAGTGTTTTTTTAATTCCACATAAATGTTTCCATTTTATTATGTTATAAAGCATAATAAAGCATACATTGTATTGTTTCAATACATTGATGTCTGCATAATGTGTTTAAAGTTATTCTTTTATTTTGATAGCTTAGAATACTAAGAATGGAAAAAAATAATCTATCAATGTTAATTCCAATTTTGGTATTAACTCTACAAATATAATTTTTTTCATTCAAGTAAGTTTATTTCGATTTCTGTTTTTATTGTATGAATCTTTCCCCCACAGAAATGTTACTAAAATTCAAATTATAGTAAAATGAATATTATTCATAAAAACACATATCACAAGAATCAGAATCGTGAAAGTGATGCACCATAAACTCTGGAGTATTTAGATTTATTTATGATATGCAAAACTTCAACTGCTTTTACTTCAATCTAAAAGCAACCTCAAACTTGATTTGATACTAACATAATTCTTAGCTCTAAGGATTTAACTCATGCACTATAGTGTCAATGGAAAGATAAAGCAGAATATTAAAGCAGGAATCAAACTGTCTCAACTGAATAAATAACTGAATCTTTTAAAATTTCATATAGAACAAATTATGTCTAATCAATTGATAGGTTTACCATATATCTCTTTTTTCAAAAGTTGTCCAACTAGCGTTAGATTTTAACCATACTTTTTATACATTTTTTGTAGATTTTAACTATAGGTTAAAGATAATTTTATGAGCAAGATCATATATGCATGTAATTTCTTCCTAATTTTTCCAAAAGAACTTAGCAATAATAAACATACTTTTTCTAGATGAATTCAGCTCCTGGATGATTAATATTTATTTCCTCATAATAAAAAAGGAACTTGTTATTGCTTGCTTCTTTTTTAAGCCCTCCCCATAGCTCTGACTTTTCTGGTAATTCCATGCAAATTACTAAATCTGCTTAACTGTTTGAGATCAACAAGGATTAGCTGGATGCTGCTACCTAATTGGATTAGCAGTATGAAATATTTGGTTTAAAATGAAGTTGCTGAGCTATGGATTTATACCCTGAGTTAGCAGTGTAATAGCTATAACATTTTTTAATATTACAAACAGGCCAAGTTCACACAAACCTTTAATTTTTCACCTATAAATAATAAACAATATTATTGTTTATTATTTAACATTGGTTAAATTTTATTATTTAAAGTTTATTATTTAACATTGGTAATAGGGTTAACATTGCGCCAAGATAAAGCTACACGAGGCGCTATTTGTTTTTGTGCAAAATATGTATTTTGTTCTGATATTGCATTAGTGAGCGCCGCGGTGGCTCATGTGGGTAAGACACTGGCTTTGTGCACCACTGAGGTTGGCAGCTTGATGGTTCGATTCCCATAAGTAAATAAATCGCGCAGGAACAAGAAAGGAGCCTCCCCCAAATGCCTACAAGACATTCAGGCATCCTGCAGGTAAAGATAACACCGCCGGAAAAAATTTCTTTCAGAGAAGCAATCAACCACCTCGGTGATCTCTGGCTAACATGTGCCATATACTAAATAAAATAAAATTGCATTAGTACTCCCTGCTTAAATACATTAACATACCCTATCAGCCCCAACCAAGCTCAGAGAAAACCATGAAAGTATTCTATAATTTTCCTAACACTCATATCTAGTTTCCCCTTAGCATTAACCTATGGATTTCTAATTTTAAGATATACCTACATCAATAACACCTGTTATTGATTTCAAACATACATATTAGGCCCTTCACTTATAACTAACCTATATCTTTACTTTTCATTCACAGAATCAGATACTTGGTCAGATCTATTTCTCTTAATCTCAAATATATGCAGGTAGTCGAGCTAGGTCCACAATTGAGACTAGAATTTTACAACTTTTTTTGCCATATTTGTTAAGTGAATCACTGCAGTTGTTAAATTAGTAACACGGTTGTTAAGTAAATCTGGCTTCACTACTGACTTTGTTGGTCAGAAGGTCACAAAAGATGATTACATGACCACAGGACACTGCAACCATCATTAATATGAACTAGTTGTCAAGCATCCAAATGTAATTATGTAACCATGTGGATACTGCAACAGTCATAAGTATTAAAAATTGTCATGTCACTTTTTTCAGCACTGTTATAATTTTGAACTAAATTAACTGTTGTCAGGGACTATTGTATTTTTGTCATTTAATTCATGCTGTTCATAATTTGTTACTGAGAAATTCCCAGAGATATTGGTCTGCACTGCACATCATGTTACCAATTATTCAAGACTTTCAAATTACACGTTTATAAAGAAAAGATGCAAAGTTATGAATTTGCGCTACATAGAATAATATTCCTTGCTAATAAGATGCACTGGTCAATATTGGCACATATTGGTCAGAATGTCAACATCAAAATCAAAGCCTACTTTTATCCCAAGCACGTCATCAAAAGAAGCTATTTATTTCATTATATATGTGATTACAGAAATTATCTCATTATTTATCAGGTAATTTCAAAGACAACCTTTGCACACAAAAAAAAAAAACCCTGCTAATTTCAGATTATTTTTTTTACCTCTTTAGAATCGTCTATTCTTTCAAAGTAAACAAATGCAAATCCTCTTGATCGCCCAGTTCGTTGATCGTACACCACGTTGACTCCACTCAATGGCCCATAACGGGAAAAGACTTCTCGAAGATCTCTCTCAGTAGTATATAAACTGAGGCCAAACACTCCAAGACACGTATTAGGATCTGGATTAGCCTAAAATGTACAAAGATAAAATATTTAGTATCTTCTTATTGACAGTTAAACCAGTTACAGGCAGTCCTTGACTCATGACCACAATTGAACCCCAAATTTCCCTTGCTAAGCAAAACAGTTAAGTGAGTTTTGTCCCATTTTATGATTTTTCTTGCTACTGTTGTAGTTGTAGAGTTAGTAACACAATTGTTAAGTGAATCAGATTTTCCCATTGACTTCATTTGTCAAAGATTGCAGGTGATCACATGACACCAGGATCACTGCAACTGTCATAAATACATGCTAGCCAAACATCTAAATTTTGATCACATGCTCACAGGGATGCTGCAATGGTTATGTGACAAATGGTCATAAATCACTTTTTCGAGTGTCACTGTTAATGACTTCAGTCACTAAACAAATGAGTGTCAACTGAGGGTGGCTGTACTTCAGCCCCAGAAATAGTGATAGTAAAATATTTCAAGAAGCTGCATACTAAGTAGCATATAAAAGAAACAGAAATATTCTGTTTAATGCATCAAATATCTTTAAAAAGATGTTTTCATTAAAATTATTAGAGGCACACAAAAGGAATCTACTGTGGAGCGAGATATGTATCAATCATCATGTATCATGAAGTTCTGATTTTAAACAAGTTATCCTGTAATTTAAATTATGCTATTTAAATAATAAGGAAAGGCTTTATACTTGTATTCTCCATGGCCAATCCAATTCTCAAGAGAAATATTAGTATAATTTTTCAGCAGAAACTTCAGAAGCAAGTTGCTTTGATTTCTTAACTCTTTCCACCCAGCTACCACTAATCCATACTTTATTGCAAACAAGAGGACTAAAGAACAAGTTTAACGAACAAAACACACATTTTTTTTGGGGGGGGGGGGGGGACTTCTGGTAGCTAAGATGAATGTAACTTTGCTTATAAAGCAGAAAATGTAAAAATTTAGCTTTTTTTCTTGACTGTAGAAACTTTATTGTAGCCAGCCGACTTAAATTGATAAAAAAATAATAATATTCCTACAAGCTTACACTACATACTCTGCTGCCAGTGTGCCTTCTTCGGTTAGACATAGGAGAGTGGCTTCGGCTCCTTCGACGCCGATATTCTGGGGTATATGATTTACTTCGTGATCGCCGCCTGTGAGAATGGGATCTAGAGCGAGTGTATCGCCTATGAGAATGTCTTCTGGATCTAGATCTTTAAATAGTAAAAATAAAGTTCCATATAAAAACTGCAATAAGCCATCAAAATTAATATTAAAAGATATTAATAATAATTTAAAACAACTGAAAACATTTATATAACTGATAAAATTTAAGACAATTCAAAACTTATGGGCAACTTATGGAATAAGATCTGTACCTGACATGCTGTTAACATGTTGGAGTTACATATCAAAGAAATGTCTCAAAGAAATTCTAACCCTTACCTATCCTAAAACAGATTTGTTAATTGTTTTTAAAGGCAAAGAAATGAAGTAATACTACAGGTCTTAATATTCGAAACTGGAACAGTAAACTATAGAAAGATCCCCAAAACTGCATGACCACTGCCACCCTATTCAAGAAAGTGTGAAACAAGAAAAAATTTGTGTATTTTTATTTGGGACCCAATTTAGAATAGAATTCTTTATTGGCCAAGTGTGGTTGGACACACAAGGAATTTGTCTTGGTGCAAATACTGTCAGTATACATAAAAGAAAAGATACAATCGTCAAGAATCATAAGGTACAACACTTAATGATAGTCATAGGGTACAATAAGCAATCAAGGAAAGACTAGGAAAGTCATTATAGATCATAAGGATACAAGCGACAAAGTTAGTCATACAGTCACAAGTGGGAGGGGATGGGTGATAAGGATTGATGAGCAGATTAATAGTAATAGTAGTGCAGATTTTGTAAATAGTTGAATAGTGTTGAGGGAATTATTTGTTTAGCAGAGTGATGGCTTTTGGGAAAACACTGTTCTTGTGTCTAGTTGTTCGGGTGTGCAGTGCTCTATAGCAGGGGTCCCCAACCACCGGGCCGCGGACCGGTACCAGGCCGTGGAGCGCACTCTACCGGGCCGCAAAGAATTTTTTTTTTTAAAAAAATGGCGGCTTTCATCACCTTCGGTGAATGCTGCTGAGATCGGGGATCAAGGACACAAATGAAAGAAGGGGAGGGAGGAAGCAACCGAAGCCTGTCCTCCTCTCTGGGTCAGCTCTCTCAGTCGCTCTCTCGCTCCTCCACCAGCACAGGAAGAAACTGCTTCAAAGAAGCGGGGGGGGGGCTTTTCCTGTCGCCTTTCTCCCCCACCCCGTCCGCCCGCCCGCCCGCCCGCAGTGCTCCGTTCTGCCTGCCTGCCTGCCTTCGTTAATGGTTGAATCGGAACAGCTTCGGCTGAGTAAAAGAGGCGAATAGTTATTATTCTCAGCCGAAGCTGCTCCCAAACAACCAGAAACTAAGGCAGGCAGGCAGGCAGGCAGAACGGGACACTGTGGATTGAAGCGCGCGCGCGCGGGCGGGGATGAAACGGGCGCTCCGGAATAGCTGCGGCCACAGGAACACCCCCCCCCCCCCCGGTCCTTGCAAAAATTTTCTGCTTGAAACCGGTCCCTGGTACAAAAAAGGTTGGGGACCACTGCTCTATAGCATTGTTTTGAGGGAAGGAGTTGAAACAGTTTGTGTCCGGGATGTGAGAGGTCTGTAAATATTTTCACGGCCCTCTTTGACTCGTGCAGTATACAGGTCTTCGATTGAAGGCAGGTGGGTAGTAATCGTTTTTTCTGCAGTCTTAATTATCCTCTGAAGTCTGTGTCTGTCCTGTTGGGTGCAGAACCAAACCAGATAGTTATAGAAGTGCAGATGACAGACTCAATAATTCCTCTGTAGAACTGTATCAGCAGCTCCTTGGGCAGTTTGAGCTTTCTGAGTTGGCACAGAAAGAACATTTTGTTGTGCTTTTTTGATGACGTTTTTGATGTTAGGTGTCCATTTTAGGTCATGTGATATAGTAGAACCTAGAAATTTGAAGGTCTCTACTGTTGATACTGTGTTGTCTAGTACTGTAAGAGGTGGTAGTATGGGAGGGTTTCTCCTAAAATCTACCACCATTTCTACAGTTTTGAGTGTGTTCGGTTCCAGATTGTTCCGGTTACACCATGAGGCAAGTTGTACAACCTCCAGTCTTTATGCGGATTCGTCGTCTCGAATGAGACCAATCACTGTTGTGTCATCAGCAAACTTCAGTATTTTAACAGATGGATTGTTTGAGATGCAGTCATTGGTATATAACAAGTGGAGAAAGCACACAGCCTTGGGGGGGCCCTGTGCTAATTGTACAGGTATCAGATGTGATTCTGCCTAGCTTCACCTCCTGCTTCCTATCTGTTAAGAAGCTTATGATCCACTTACAAGTGTGTTCAGGTACTGCTAGTTGGTTTAATTTACTTAGAAGAATGTCTGGAATGATGGTATTGAATGCTGAACTGAAGTCTACAAAGAGGACCCTTGCATAGTATTTGGGGAATTAAGGTGTTGTCAGATGTAATGCAGAGCCATATTAACAGCATCATCTGTTGATCTATTTGCTCGGTATGCAAACTGCATGGGATCTAACAGCGGATCCATGATGATATTCAGATGGGACAGCACAAGCCTTTCAAAGATTTTAATAACTACAAATGTTAGAGCAACTGGTCTGTAGTCATTCAGTTCCTTGATGGAGGGCTTCTTTGGCACTAGGATGATAGTAAGGATTTGAAACAGGAAAGAACATAGCACATCTCTAGTGATCTATTGAAGATTTGGGTGAAGATGGGGGACAATTAGTCTGTGCAGACTTTTAAGCAAGGAGTTATCTTGTCTGGCCCTGGTGCTTTTCCTGGTTTTTGTCTGTGAAATAGATCTTGTACTTATTTTTAGTGATCACCAGAGGTTATGAACCCAATGGGTTGGGGCCAGTTGTAGGAGGCTTGGCTGCTGTTGGTGTGTTTGAGATGGGGGTTGTGGAGATAGGTGGCTGCAGTTTCCTTTCAAACCTGCAGTAAAACATATTCAGGTCATCTGCTAGTTGTTGATTTCCTTCTGCCTGGGAAGGTGGTTTGCTGTACCAAGTGATGTTTTTAAGAGTTTTCCACATGTTTGCTGGTTCATTTATTGAGAACTGATTCCTTAACTTTTCAGAGTAGCTTCTTTTTGCTGCTCTGATCTCTCTTGTTAGTATGTTTCTGGCCTGGTTGTATAGCATTGTCACCTTTTCTGTAGGCTTCCTCTTTGGAACGACGTAGCTGCTTAAGTTTAGCTGTGAACCAAGGTTTATTGTTACTATATATTTGCAGGTTCCTTGTTGGTACACATAAGTCTTCACAGAAGCTGACATATGTTACAGTATCTGTGAGCTCATCTAGGTCTGCAGAGATATCTTCAAAAACATTCCAATCAGTGCAATCAAGACTAGCCCGGAGCTTCAACTTTGCCTCATCAGACCAAGTCCTCACTGATTTAATTGTTGGTTTCATGGTTTGTTTCATTTGTCATGGAAATCTCTTAATTTCTGTTCAAATAGTGTTTATATATTCTTATAGGAATATTTTCATATTTTCATAACTACATGAAGCAATGAATTTAAATGGATTACTTGTATTTCTACATTTGCATGTGTACACTTACATATTGTTAAAGCACATCACAATTTCTTGAAAACAGTACACATTAATGCACAGTACAACTGTTCAGATGGGTTCTACAATGTCATAATTTGCTATATGATACTTATAAAGTTTCTGGGCATTTTCCAAGCCCTGACAAAAATCTTAGTTCTATAATATCTAAATTTTCCAGTAAAAAATCCAACAAAGTGTTCAAATCAAGTTTAACATACTCAAGTTTTTAATAAACATACCTGGATTTTGATCTTGATCGAGAGTGTGATTCAGAATGTTTAGAAGCTCTTGATGGGCTACGAGATCCTGACCTGCTCTCAGATTTTGCACGAGCAGGACTCCCAGCTGGAGATTTTGACTGGGAGCGTGATGCCTACCAAAAGAAGCAGTATTACAAATGGTATTGGTTGCACAAATGCCTACCTTCTTATGTTAAAAGTAACTATATTTTATTGATTGTGCCTGAAAAATAAATGGTTAGGCAATACCATCCAGGGTATTGGTTCTCTTTAACCCACTTTTAACATTGTACAATTTCCTTAAATAATTCCCTACATGAACCAAATGACCAATGTTCTATTAACTAAGTAATCATGCAAATTCATCTATAACTTGATCATACAGACACTGGAACATAAGCCATACATTTACTTAACCTAGGACCCATTCATTCTTCCAGATTCTTTTAATGCTACTTCACTCTTGCTTTCTACTTTTCTTCATTCTTCATTGAGTTTTTCATTTTTCATACTTCGTGTATTCTTCCCCAATTCAAACAATTCATTATAGCCTTAAAAATATTCAAGTGCTTCTATCTGACCAATCTTCTGTTCAATTTTTTCCCCCATTCAATTTTAATTTTCTGATCTTTAACATTTTTCATTAGCCTTCTTTTATCTTGATTTATCTTCCACATTCTTGGAAAAAACTCTTCCATTTCTTCACGAACATTAACCTTAATGGAAAAAGAACATTTAGTATATTTAAGCATGTGGGGATTATAAAACCCTGCTGGATGTTCAGAATTTTATCTACTAAAATGGAATAACCAGCAGGTGAAATGCAAATAACTAGTTTATAAAAGCAATTTTAAAAATCTTTTAACTGATATAATCATATAGGCTCTAGTAATGAGTCCGCTGATTCCTTTGCAGTGTTTCCCAAATATTGTTACACCTATTCTGCTCCCTAAGTTCGATAAATTTCAAGTCTGTAATATTTATATATATTTATATTTATATACATGTACACACACATACACACAAATACATTCTTAAATACACACTTGCCAGAGATTTAAAAAGTGAAGTAGACCTCTAGGCAAAGATTCAAAGAGTTACAATGGCATATCCGCTAACACAAATACAAATAATGTGTCTTAACTCCTGTTTTTTTAAACAGAAAGATTGCACAACTTATTATAAATTTGATTCTAAAATACCTATTAAGTGCTGGTTGTTCAAGTTCCAAATTTGTACTGAAAATGCAAATTTGATTTCCTTCTTTGGATCTTAGCCATACCTTTGATATATAAATCCCATTATTCATGTCTATCATTGTGATTATTTTATTCAAGTTTCAAATATTTGTACAGTAAAATAAAAGCAAAGCTAAACTACTAATATCAGTATGGTTTAATAGGTCTGCTAATGGATTAACCACCTGATTTGATGTCTACTTTGTACTCCATCAGAAGTGTATCAGGCAAGGCAAATATAGAAAGAGCAAACTTTGTGTATGTATATGTATCTAAAGGAGGTAATCATTTGTTCTCCCAAACTAAAGTACTAAGCAGGGATTACTTCAATTTAATTCAAAAGCTGATCTCAAAAAGACCCATTTTCCCCAGGTTAAAAATGTTCATTTTGTTTTTCTAATTTCAGATCTTTTTCCTATCATTTTAAAAATACTGAATGAAGTTGAAAAAAATCTCAAACATTTTGCACTTTTAGCAAGGATATGCACATATTTGGTGCCTTTTGCAAAATTCAGCTTTTATGTATTTCTCTATAGTATTTTTCCACAATTAAATATCATGTAATCTAACTACTTGCAGAAAAACTTCTAAAAACTAAAGATTTTTAATGGGGGAAGAATGGGTAAAAAATACAACATTGGAAAATACATAAGACCATAGATAATGGTAGATAGCTTATTACAAGGAACTGCAGATAGTTCTCAACTTATCACAATTGAGCCAAAAAAATTGTGCTGAGACATTTGTTAAGAGAATTTTGCCCCGGACCTTTTTTAACATAGTTGCTCAGTAAATCACCATAATTGTTAAGTTAATGATATGATTGTTAAATGAATCTAGCTTCCCCATTGACTTTGCTTGTCAGGTTACAAAAGCTTATTACATGACCCAGGGCCACTGCAACTGTCAGAAATACGAGTCAGTTGCCAAGTATCTGAATTTTGATCACATGATCATGGAAATACTATAACAATCTACCGTATTTTTTGCACTATAAGACACAGCCACCCTACCAAAAGTGGGTGGAAATGTCTGTGCGTCTTATAGGGGGAATATTGTGGCAGTGGGGTTGAGGTTGGTGCACCGCCGCCAGGGAACGCTGGAGCCGTCACTGCCAAGCAGCTGATTGGCAGTTGGATCGGCCACCCAGAATATCGTCAATCAGTTGTTCTATGCGGCAGAGATCACTACAGCCGTCACCTATTGCTACCCACTCGTTTGCCACCAATGAGTGGTGGTGGCCGGCAGTGGTTCCAGTGGTTCCTGGCAGCGGCAGCGGCTCAACTGAGTTGACGGATGCTGGGCGCAATGGAGGGAGAGGGATCTTGGAGTCTTAGTGGACAACCAGCTAAATATGGACAGCCAGCAGTGTGCAGCAGCAGCCAAAAAAGCTAATGCAATCCTAAATTGTATTAACAGAGGAATACAATCAAGATCAAGGGAAGTACTAATACCACTCTATAAAGCCTTAGTAAGACCACACCTAGAGTATTGCATCCAGTTTTGTTCACCACATTATGAAAAAGATGTTGAGACTCTAGAAAAAGTACAGAGAAGAGCAACCAGGGTGATTAGGGGACTGGAGACTAAGGCATACGAAGAATGGTTACAGGAACTGGGCATGGCTAGTCTAGTGAAGAGAAGGACCAGGGGAGACGTGATAGAGGTCTTCCAATATTTGAGGGGCTGCCACAGGGAGGAAGGGATCAAGCTATTTTCTAAAGCGCCTGTAGGACAGACAAGGAATAATGGATGGAAACTGAACAAGGAGAGATTTAACCTGGAAATAAGGAGAAACTTTCTGACAGTGGAAATCAACCAATGGAACAACTTGTCCTCGGAAGTTGTGGGAGCGCCATCACTTGAGACTTTCAAGAAGAGTGGAGCACTGATGAATCACATGCTGGGGCTCTGATAACGTACTGAAGCTGACCAGGCTATCTGCTGTCAGGACGCTAGCCAGATGAATACTGGATGGATGCTGGGAGGCAGACGTAGATTTTTTTATTGTTTTCCTCCTCTAAAGGTAATCTTATGGTCCAGAAAAATACAGTAAGTTACTTTTTTCGGTGCTGTTTAACTTCAAACACTCACAAAATAAGTCAAGGATTACTTGTACTACTTTTTGACGTATACTAAACAAATGGTTGTAAGGATCTGGGTTGGTCACCAGGACCAGAAGTTTTATCTTCCGAGCTTTTGGACTCAGAAGGAGTCCATTCCAGGGAACTTCTCTCCAGCCAGAAAATGGACCCCAGAATGAGTTTGACAGCTCTGGTCCTAGTGACTGACCCAGTTTGGATCCTGCAACATTACCCCGGGTCACATTTATTTGCCTTCATTTATGAATCTGTTATAAGTTAAGGACTACCTGTACTAATATTTGAAAAACAGCTTCTGATTCAAGCTGCCTGAATAGCAACTCATAATTCTATAAAATGCCAACTGAAATCATCTTATAATTTACCAATTTTAATTTACCATGTTAGATAATTTTAAGGAATATTTATTTCTAAATACTGCCTATAAAACAAATTATAGATTACTTGCTCAATTGGACTTATTCATAGAGATTACTTGCATTGTTACATGACTAAGATTTCACAGACAGCAGTTTATTAACACCGATGGAGACACATAAATGTAGCATTTTACTAGCACTGTTAATTTTAATATTAATTTTAAAATCTCAATTTCTGTACTATATTATTGATAATCTGTACTTGAATAGAAAACTCAGATGTAAATCAAATACGCAATATGCGGTATTATAATTCTAGTCTGAGAGCGTTTGGGGTTATTGTTAAAGCTCATGACTACAAATTAGGGACTGTGAGTTCTAGTCCTGCCCTGGACATAAACCACTTTTGAAAAACCTTTGTAAGAAAACTGCAGGGACTTGTCCGGGCAGTTTTTGAGAAATGGGCACAACTGAATAGAAGGGGAAAAATTACATATCCAAGGCTCACTATCAACACTTAAGTAAGACAACAAAATAGCTATATTGAAGTATTTTTAAACCTATTCATGTAGGTTTAAATTTACATAATTAATGATTGATATAAATGCCTATTTAGGCATATAAATTTCTAAGTTTAGCACAACTTTGGAAAGAGCAGACAATTAAGCTGAATTGCCATTATGCTATTTCCACTTAAATCTTTTCAAAAGTATATCTTCACCAAGTGTCACAACTTCTGTATCATTCATATAAATGATCTAATTTAAATATATACATTGCACAACTGTATTGGTCATTTTAGAACAGAAAACAATAAATTACATTAAAAAATATATGTATCAGTGATATGGTACTTCATTTTTTTGCCTTCTCCCCACCCTGAATATGGGGACTTTATCCTGGTTTGAAGGTCCCCTTTCAGTTAAGCTTGATTCCAGGTGAACTTATTAACATATCAAGGATGGGGAGAAAGCAATCAAACTATATGATTTTGTACTGTCATTTTCTGGATATTTTTCCCAATTTCCAGATCTATTTATATGCTCTTGGAATTTCCTAGTAACCCACTTATCTTTGCAAACGTTTTGAAATTAACTAAGGTCAACATCAAAAACGTACTAATATTATAAGGCAACCCTATTTCACAAATAATCCTTGCATTTATATCATTACTGCATTCTGTCCAACTCGCAACTGGCTCACTTTTCTGACAGGTTGCAGTGTTCTGTAATTTATATTTTTTGTCAGAAGCATGTTTTCTTGGATAGTTTTTGGCAAAAATGCCAACAGGAATGCACTGACTCCCTTTAATGACTGCTGCATGAAAGGTCATAAAATTGAGTCAATCATATGGGTGCCTCAACTTATGCCTGCTATTATTTACAATGGAAATTCCAGGCTCAAAATTTCTGTTGCTAAGTGAGTTTTAGCCCATTTAAAACTTTTCTTGCCAGTTATTAAGTGAATCACTGCAGTTGGTAAGTTAGTAACAAGGTTGTGAAGTGAAACTGATTTATTTCCCCATTGATTTTGATTGTCAGAAGATTTCAAAAGGTGAACACATGACCCCTGGAAACTGCAACCATCATAAATATGAGTCAGTTGCCAAGCATCTGAATTTTGATCATGTGATCATGGGGATGCTGCAATGATCTTACGTGTGAAAAAAATCACTTTTTTCAATAACATTGTAATTTTGAACTGACACTAAATGAACTGCTGTAAATTGAGGACTATTTGTATATTGGCATTGGTCGCACTTTTTGATGATCTCTGGCAGGAGCGGGATGGGGGTAGGGCATCCATCCTTGCTCCACTGGACCTCTCGGTAGCTTTCGATACTATTGACCACGGGGTTCTCCTGGGGTGGCTTGAGGGGATGGTTGTGGGAGGCCTTGTGCTGTCCTGGTTCACTTCCTTCCTCTGCGGCCGCTCTCAGTCAATATTAATAGGAGGGGAGAGATCCAGCCCATGCCTACTGCTTTACAAGGTTCCTCAAGGCTCAGTACTCTCTCTGCTCCTGTTCAATGTTTATATGAAGCCACTGGGTGAGATCATCCATCACCATGGACTGAGGTATCACCAATATGCTAATTCAGCTGTATGTCTCGACCTGTGGTGAGTTAAGTGTTGCTGTATCCTCCCCCTCGCAGTGCCTGGAGGCTGTTAGGGGCTGGATGGGGAGCAACAGGTTGAAACTAAACCCTTGCAAGACTGGGTGGCTCTGGGTTTGGGGTTCACTGGGCCAGGGAGAATTGCCACCTTTGGTCTTGAATGGGGTGGCACTTCTCCAAACAGACCCTGTGCATAATCTAGGGATTTTCCTGGAGTCATGGCTCCTGCTTCAACAGCAGGTGGCAGTCATGGCCTGGAGGGTCTTTGCACAACTGCAGGTTGTGCACTAGTTACATCCTTTCCTGGACCAACAGTCCCGACTCAGTCACTCATGCTCTAGTCCAGGGGTGGGCAAACTACGGCCCGCGGGCCACATCCGGCCCGTTGGTCTGTCCAATCCGGCCCGCCCCTGAAAAAAAATCGATGGGCGTGGCGTATTGCCCTGTGCCACGTGGTCCCCAAAGCTGCAGGAGTGCGGAGCGCTCTCGGGGTAGGAAAGAAAAGAACTTTGCAAAGGCCTCGGCTGGGAGTTCGAAATCACCTTCGAGTGCGACCTTTCCGAAGGTGAGTCCCCGCCGATCCCCCTTTTTTCCGGGGCTTCCAGGCTTAAACTTTGCAAAGGCAAAGTTTGCAGGCTGGAGCGTCTTCCCGCC